CATTTTGAGAAATGCACCGCCAATTCATGTTTGTTTTGCTGCAAAGAAGGCTTCGTAATGCATTGGGTTAGAAAAAGTGTCACATTTCGTAGTTGCCAGGTCAAAACTAGGTATTTGAGCTGCTTTGCTGTAAATTTTTAGGTTACAATACATCCATATAGACGGCCAGTTTTGCCTGAACCTCTGGTCAAAGGATTATGTCGAGAAGCCTCTTTGAGTGTGTGAGGCAATAATGTAGTAGCAATAGCATCTTTGAACCTAGCTTTGTTGTAAAGGATCTAATGCGGAATTCAACTTCGCTTGGCGAAATTCTATGCACAAATATTAACCTACAGCTAAAATACAGCAAAATTTAGTACTGAAATATTATCTGCTCAGGGGTGAATCGTCACTGCACTTCCCTTTAATCTTAGTGTTAACAGTGCTTCCCATTGCCCTATAAAATCAACAGAAATCATTAACTAGGCAATCCAGTCATTTTCCATGTCGCCCCGTTAAGCAGAGTGCTGTTGTAAAGGAAATCTTTCTTCAGAAAACCTGTGCCAAATTTGCCCTATAACTAAACAATCGGCTTCCATTTCCAATTCTGTCAAATGCCAATTTGGTGAAGTTTGATATAGTTTATGATGTAGAGGTAAGTTTTAAAATTCTTCTTTTCGATTTGGAAACCCTTTTGTGCAAACTTTTTGAAACATACTTTACTGAAATTATTACTCATCGCCAACTATGACTTTTTCCTATTTTTCCGGCGATACATCGATTCTGATGTTGTTTTCGCAGAAAGACAAATGGAGCCAGGACGAGTATCATAACTGACAGTCAGGGAGCATCAAAAAATTCCTGTTGATTGGTTAATTAAGCACGCAAAACTGGGTAAGGATAGCCCTTTGGTTGGTACCGGGACATGAGGATTTTGATGGCAACGAATGTGTAGACGTTTACGCATTTGATGAAGCGGAGCCTACACAGCAGATCTGTGGGAGGATTTTCAAACTACAAACGAATGGCGGATCACAAATGGATAAGGCAATCTAGAAACGTATAGCTATTACCAAATGGTTTCTGGGAACGACAACTAAATTTCAGTCCGGAAGGTCTGAACACTTTCACACCTGACTGGGCTGCAGATTATGTGGCTGGAATATATATTATGCGATTCGTATTTAGGTTTAAGACTCTTAATATTTTGGGGAGCGATTATCGTCTCGGTGCAGCATCTGAGACGTGGCACCCTCTAAAACGTTTAATTTTACAAATGCTCTAAGGTTGGAGAGATCCTTTATAGGGTCAGCACAATAGATCTGTATACAATGGTTGCGTTTGTAATAAAAGGCAACTATTTGTCCTTTAAACAAAGAATTTTTTTCTTAAGGAAGGTATGTTCCGGCAATATAAAATAATTTCCAAAACACGCGAAAAATTGGTTTATTAGCTATGTCATCAATATTAATTGCGCTGTGCGCCGACCTCGGCTGTCAAAGGTATTCGCTTTTATTGTCATTGAATTTCTAAGAGATCATTTGCAAAGATCTTGATCTGGAAACTGCGGCTACTTGT